GGATTCTCCTCCAGTTCTATCCACGAACGCAGGTGTTCCCCCAAGGCTCCATCCTTGGCCCCACTCTTTCTTTATTTTCATCAATGACCTTCCTGACGCCATAGATTCCCAAGTTGGCATCTACGCAGACGACACTACAATTTACTCCTGCCTCAAAAACAAATCTAGTGTCGGCGACAAAACTAACCTGGCCGTGCGTCTTGAAATGGACCTCCAATCGGTTGTCAACAGGGGCAAGAATTGGCTGGTCAACTTCAACGCCTCAAAAACTAAATTACTCTCCATTAACCACCATAGAGATTCTTTCCTGCTCCCCATTAAAATGTCTGATCGTCAACTTCCGCAGAGCAACTCCCTGCGTCTGCTCGGTCTCACGCTGACTGCTGACCTGAGATGGAACAAATACATTGAGTCAATTGCTTCTTCCACCGCGAGGAAAGTTGGCTCTCTGTGCGCACTCTGCTCAAAGATAGAGACGCAAATGAAAGATGATAAATAGATGTGTTACAAACAATTCGAGAGAGTAGTTTACAAACTAAAAAAAAAGAAGAACCAGTTTCTCGCTATAAAATATATCCATCATGATGCCCAATATCTGTCAATATTTCTGAGATGAGGTATTATGTACACTATTTACATTATTCGGACTATTTTCCTCATCTTTGTCGCCATATTTATTACAACGTTTCGGCCTTTCAGTATCTGTCTATGTTTCTGAGATGAGGTATTATGTACACTATTTACATTATTCGGACTATTGTCCTCATCTTTGTCGCCATATTTATTACAACGTTTCGGCCTTTCAGTATCTGTCTATATTTCTGAGATGTGGTATTATGTACACTTTTTACATTATTCGGACTATTGTCCTCATCTTTGTCGCTATATTTATTACAACGTTTCGGCCTTTCAGTATCTGTCTATATTTCTGAGATGAGGTATTATGTACACTACTTACATTATTCGGAGTATTTTCCTCATCTTTGTCGCCATATTTATTACAACGTTTCGGCCTTTCAGTATCTTTCTATATTTCTGAGATGAGGTATTATGTACATTATTTACATTATTCGGACTATTGTCCTCATCTTTGTCGCCATATTTAATACAACGTTTCGGCCGTCGTATGCTCCGGCCTTCTTCAGGTGGTTGGAATGTCGAACTGAAACCTTTATTTCGATCACTGGGGTAGACTATTCTTGTTCTACGTGCCATCTTCAATGGATGTCAGTTATCAGTTATCTCCTGTTAATTCCCCTCTCTAAGGACACCTGACACAGTGGATAAAGGCGTTGGTTAGATCCAGTGACAGGACCCAAAGAGTGTGAGTTCAATACTCGGTTAAGGCAGTGGAGAACTTGAAGAGGGGAATTAACAGGAGATAACTGATAATTGACATCCATTAGACATGGCACGTGGAGCTAGAACATTCTACCCCAGTGAGCGAAATAAAGGGTTCACTTCGATATTTTAACCAACTGAATGAATGTCGGAAGAGCGTTTGGGAGAAACAACAGAAAATTTATTAAGAGCTGCAAGGGACAGGAAGTTGTGGAGAAACACGATCAGCTACGTCCTGGGGGTGGGCGTGAAAATCTGAGCAAGTTCTAGAGATATAGTTATATAGGAATAATTTCTCGCTTCCGACACTTGAGTTTGAACACGGATCACCAGAGATCAAACAGAGTCGATCCCATTTTGAATAAGCAGATCAGATGATCAAAAAGGAAGGGTGTGCCAGAAAGTTTTTCTCGCTCGTGTCTATCCTATAATCTATAAATCAACCATTCCACCTTGCATGGAATACTGCTGTCATATATGGTGTGGTACCCCCGCTGTTTGCTTTAATGTCCTCGTAAAATCCAGAGACGGACATGCAATGTGATTGGCTCTGATCTGGCATCTCGTATACAGTCACTTTTTCACAGACGTGCCGTCGCTTCCCTCTGTCTTTTCTACAAATATTTTCACGGTAACTGCTCCCACACTGCATGAATTTAAACGTGCTACTAGGCTGGCATCTCGGTCCCACCCCAACGGTTAAATGTAGCCGTCTCTTCTACTCCACTACCTTCATGTCTTGCACTTCTCGTCTGTTGAATTCCCTTCCTATTACTTTTTCTCCGACTATTCAAATGTAATGTCAATCGACATCTCCAGATACCTTGATCTATTCCCGGTCTTTCTCTTCACCCTTTCCTCTATCACGCCTCTTTACTCTCGCTCCCACTCTCGGTAATCCATTGCGTACTAGTGGCACTCCCGTTTTGCTTGGAACGAAATGCTTTCAATATATATATCGAAACGTATTTCACGTTTAATCAATAGTTGTTATTTTTCGGCAAATGTTATGGTAATATTTGGTACCCGTCCTGCTTTCTCTTCCATTCGTAAGGATGTCCTACCTCCCCATCATGTTAATTCAGTGATTTACCAATACAAGTGTAGTTGTGGACATGACTACATAGGGAGGACGTCCCAGCGTTTGGATTCGAGAATAAAACAGCATTTACCCTCCAGGATTTTGAATCCGTCCTCTAGGAATAGCCAATTGACTAACAGTTCTGTTTCTGCCATTGCTGAACATTTGATAAATAGAAGGAATGTGGAAAATTTTAGTGGTGACCGATTTATTATTTTATCTAGGTCCCACTCACATTTTTCATTCAACAAGGTTCTCTGAGTCCTTGTATATCAGATCCCGTGGGCCTTCCCTTTGTAAACAGAGAGAATGCTTGCTGGGTCTGAATATTATTGGACTCTAGTCTCTTGAAATTCATAATTTTTTTTTCTCTCTTCCCATTTAATTACATTCGTTAATTAAAATTAATTTACACGCTTTTAAATTCCCAGAATAAATAACTTGATAAGTCCTGGGACGAAACTGGTAGTTTGTAATTTGGCTTTTGCTTTTAAAAAATTATCTTTTCCTATCTATTATTAAATTCTGTACCACGAAAAACTTATTTAAATATATATATATATATATATGGGAATTAGTGTGGCGTTTAAACAATCACTATTTCTAGTCTATCCTCGATTACTATACGGATCACTATTCTCTAACTATTTCTTTATACTGATCACTGTTTGGTGGTTACTTTTCGAGCGAATATTAACGAGCAAATACAATTAGTTCGAGTGTTATTCGAAGGCGTCTGATATCAGTATTGTTCAACCGCGTTACTGTAGTTGTATCTGCGATTACAATCTCTCTACTACAACGAGCATTACGAAAGTGACAATGAGTATTCGTTGACATTAGATCTCTATTCCTGTTCAGAAGACGGGGAAGGCGTGTGAACTGTGCAATAGGCGACCTTATCTATTTTATCTATATTTTTCTATACTAGTCACTATATTGATTTCTATTCGATGGTTACTATTCGAGCGAGTATTATCGAGCAAGTACAATTAGTGCGAGTATTATTCGAAGGCGTCTGACATCAGTATTGTTCAACGGCGTTACTATAGTTGTATCTGCTATTACAAAGTCTCTACTACAACGAGCATTACGAAAGTGACAACGACTATTCGTTAACATTACAAAAGTGGCAACGAGTTTTCTATGATATCACAAAACATCTGGAAGAGGCAGCTGAAATTTATAGCCCTCATAATGAGAAAAGAGTGCTTGGAAAATCCGATACTCACAAGACAGATTGATGTCAAAAAGAACAGGGGAAAAAAACGCATAACCAAACTGGTGAACTTGAGTGAATGAATGGTGGAGCAGTGTTTGGAAGATGTAACAGAAAGACAAAATTTATTAAGAGCTGCAAGGGACAGGAAGCTGTGGAGAGCCATGGTCACCTTCATCCTGAGAGGACACTGAACATAAAGAAAACTGTCCCATTGTTATAAACTTGTGCCAAAATATATTTATCTGGATTGATATTCTAAGTGTAGTTTAGGCTGGCACAAGGCCGGAAATAAGGGGCATCATTATTCTGCCGTAACTGGCTTTCTGTATATGTTTTTATGTTTTAGTCTGAAATAAAATAATAAATTAATATTTTGAGGTTTTCGGGCTTTTCTCACTATTTTTTTTTTATTTATTATTTAAAATAATCGCCAAGGATTGACCAAATAAAAGAAAATGCATTTTAAAAGGTGAAAATAAATAAAATATAGAGGTTAAAAAGAAGTTCTAAAAAAATTAAATTTAATATTGAGAAAAAAAAAGACGCGATTGAATCAAATATTGTGCCTTGGAAAAATAGAAATATTGTATTAATTTTGTTTCATTTTTTTGCTTGTTTTTTTTTGTGTCTATGTGTGTATTCCATTTTGTTTTCTTTATTTGAGATGGAAAGATTGGAACAAGGAAAATAATAAATAAAGGGGAAAAAATGAAAAAAAAAGGGCAAAAAATAATAAAGAATCCTCCAAAAAATAAAAAAAAATATATAAAAGAGATGAAATGAAATAAAGCGTGTAAGTCTGGATACAATGGCATCGTCTTCGTAATTAATTTATGTTAAATTATACAAAGAAATCAACAAACATAAGGGCAGAAAACGACACATATGCAAAAAAAACTGAAAAAAAAACCATTAACTTTATTCGCCATCTGCTTTTCATAAATACATTTATAAGCAAGTGGAAAAATTTACAAAAATCAAATTCAAGAAAAAAAATAACAAAAAATACTTTTTAAAAAATGAGGCAAAAATTAAAAAATAAATTTGCTACCTCGATTACTACTATTAATAATAATAATGTTACTACTACTACTACTATAATAATAATAATAAAAGAACGGGGAAATTGAAGCTAAGAATATAGAGTCAACACAGAAATAAACAAACCAATACATTTTTATTGTGGATATTTTTTCTTTAATAAATAAAATGAATTTTTAAACATTGGTGCGGGGAAGTGAATCCGAAACGTGAGCGGCGGTTTGGAAATTGACCCAAAAGAAAATTACGTTCACACTCTCTTTCACTCTATATTCCTCTCTCTATCCCTTTATCTTTTTTTTTTTCTTCATCTAG